TTCAGTCTCCTATTCTGTTGACTGCAGATCCCAAGAGACTGTTGACCTTGGATTCATTGACCCTGGCATCCACCAGCCTGTGTCCCTCCTACTGTGCCATTCTGCTTTCTGTCTTTCAGCTTCTGCAACTACATGAGTCAGGAGAGGCCTCTGTGGCTCACATCTGACCTGAACCAAACTGGGCTCATTCACTTATACAACTGAGCGAGCCGATCCTTGACATAAACTTCCCTCTGTACACAATGCATGCAAGCTCACTGGTGTTGTTTCCCGGGAGAACCCAAGCTGACATGGGGTGGGGGGGACCTTCATTCCATCTCAGGAGTCCCGGGAGAATAGCTGTGAAGAATGAGAGCGAGGCTGGGGGAAACAGGGAGGGCCTTCCCCTAGAGCTGGCTCTTCAAGCCCAGCCCACGTCACACTCACTGCCATCCACTTTCTTCGATGCAGAGCGACCCCGTGGGTCTCCCAGGTCTTGTTGGAGCCGCTTTATGCGATTGCATAGAGACTAGTGGGTTTGAACACCTAGCCTTCTAGTTGGCAGACCAGTGTTTAACCCACAGTGCCATGGATCTGCACATGGCCAGCATGCAGTCTCCCGGCCCAGCAGAGAAGAAAGGTGTTGCTCCCAGCAACTGACTGGTCATTGGTCCTGGCAGCTCTAGGAAACAAATCAGTGAGAGCATCATTTGCGTGCTGAGTGTGTACAGTTCCTCCAACATTGGGAGATGTTCACAACTATTGTCATGAAACAGCTTAGGGACTCCCAATGGTAAACTGGACTCAGCAGTGACAAGCCCAAGCTGTGATGTAACGTCCCCCAACTTGTAACCGCTTGCACGAGAATGAAAGTCCATTCGGCTTTGTACAAGGGGACTTCAAAAGCCCGTGGCAAAGATGGAATTGAAAGGTAATGGAATGTTTCCGTATGTTTCTAGAAGGCCCTGCGTATTGAGATTTTTGTTTTCCCCGGCGATTGTCTGTTTCTTGTTTGTTGGAGGATAGTCCTGTTTTGCTACGTTGAATCAGCATCAAGAACTGGCCAGAAAACGTCCTTGGAGGGTTTTAGTATCCTCCGCCTAGGTGTTCCTTTCATAATTGCAGATGATTAGATTTTTCTAATTACAGCAAAGACTAACAGACGGAAGTCTGTGTAGTTGCATAATTTTATGCCAACTTGAAGACAGTGATCGTACCTAATGGTGCCTCCTTGGGGCGTGGCCTTCCCGTAAGGAGAGCCCCGGGGAACCTCCCCGCGCCTCTGCCTACATCTTCCTGCTGCTGCCCACCTTGTTTCCACTGACCTTGCCTCCACGCCACTCTGCACTCGCCCGCCTGTGATCTCCCTGCACTCTGCATCACTGCATGTGGCTGTGAGTCTGAAGAGGGACTGATGGACTAGTACTGGACTTATGGACTTGAGTTGGACTAGGCTGGAATGTTTTCTTGATACATAATTCCTTCTTACACATAGATGAGTGTCACTGGATTTCTCGTCAACCCGGCCTAACACACAAAGCCTTTCCCTCTCATCCACCCCCCCACTTCTTACCAGTACCTCCCGCTGATACTGACGGTGCGCCCAGTGCCAGCATCCTGCTGCGGTCTCGCTTCCTTTCAGCCTGGTCATTCTGTTAGAATTCACCATTCATTGACAAGCCTCTAGCTCCCCCATTAGAAGCTGGAAACGAACCCACCTGCCTTTGAAGGTGAGCGGGAGCTGACAAGACCTGCAGCTGGAATGTGGAGCGGTCCCTCCAAGCAGAGAAGAATCAGAGACAGGCAACCTGTCTCAAGCCTGACCACAAAAGGCCGTCTCATCAGAAGATGCCCTGCACCGAGATGACCAGCTTTCTCTCCCAAAGTCCCCCTCTTCCCTGTTGCTAAAAACACCCTTTAACCTGTTGCTGGGGTAGCAGGTTTCCTCTGGCGAGATCTACTGTCTCCTGAAATGCTGGTCTTCAATAACATCTCTCGCTCTCCTTCTCCCATGTCGTGAACTGGCCTCCTCTCCACAGGCTGGCCGGATCACCAGTGGGGCGTGAACAGTGCGACTGGCTACATCCTGAGAAGACAGCGTCTGCTCAGTCACATTTTGAGTGGCTTCCATCCTGAGGAGCTCAAGCCCTGCTGCTGCCACCAGGCCGGTCCTGACCCACAGCGACCTCATGCAGCACAGACGGAACCGCGGGCCCTGCTCATTGGAATGAGATTCCCGCTCCTTGCGGGAAGGGTCGAGTGATTTCTAGTAATAATCTCCTAGGTTTTTCGGTAGTTTGTTTTTATACTTCATCAAAGCTCTTTCCATGAACAGATTTTGAAATATCAGTCCATCTAGGGCATTATATGCATGGCTTCTCTTTCTCGTTTTTATGATTCCAGCAAGCAAAACAAACTCCTTACTTCCACAGAAGGGACCGAGGGACAAATTCAGGACTAGCTGAAGAGGTTTGGTCGCCATCTTGTGGATCAGTTAAAAACAACACCCCCAAATACTTGGCCATTTGCTTTATAAGCTTTTAAAACCAAACCCAAAAGCACGTTTAAACCCCCACACTCTGTTGCCACTACTTGGCAGAATGGAAAACAGAGGGCTCTGAGCCTCGAAGAAACGTTGAGATGTTTGCAGCAGCTGCTCAAACTGACATCTGCCATAAATGCAACGCGGTTGCCAACGGTTGCAGGACTTTGAAAGCGACCCTACTCAGTGGACTGTGACTCGCAGTGACCCTCCAGGCTCAGAGCAGAGCTGTGCCTGCGGGTCCCTGAGGTTAACTCCTTATGGGGATAGAAAGCCCCTTCTAAGGAGCGACCGATTGCTCTGAACTGCTGACCTTGAGGTTAACAGCCCGACATGTAACCATGACGCCACTTCAATTGCCTGCTATTTTCATCATAGGCTTACTGATTTCCACCCTGCTCCCCTAACCCCACTCCTCTCAGTTGGGGGTTAAGAAGGGGTCCGGGACACATGAAATCTACAGCAGTGTTTTCTCAGGCACATCTAGAATGTTAAACTGGGCTTGGTCACTGGACTGTTTGTAATATATAACATATCTGACCTCCCACTTTCCAGATTATAAGATGACTCTGCACCCCCAATTATAAACACTTGAACTACAGCCCATAATCCAGGATAAAGTGTGGGGATCTGCCTTCGAAGTACCACCCCCAACCCCCAGGGCACTTTGGGAAACACTGGTTTACAGTTCAGATGAGACAGTGGGAGCAGAATTTCACTGTGAGCACCCTCGGTGAATTAACCAGCAAGAAAAGAAGAACTCAAGACAAAGCTGTATCCAAAGTACAACCATGGCAGAAAAACTCAAGGCAGCGTCCCCCCATTTCACGATCACAAAGAGGTGAGCGCACAGCTCCGGAGACTCCCGAGAACCCTGCTTCATTAAATGCAAAACCAGCCATACAGTCGGTTTAACATCAAATGGCGAAAGCATGGAATCGTCTGGTGGGCCATTGTGACGGGGGCGTTGTACACGCAGGAATCGCAAAGACCGCTTCTCTGCTGGCCCAGGACCACTGAGAGCCTGCCATTTCAGGGACCTCTCAAGTCAACAGCCGTGGCGACCGGAGGAAATGGACAAGGCCTCTGTGCGAGGCAGAACTTAGGCTTTCTGGGAACAAGCAAGCGGGTCTGAGAAGCACCACAAAGCCTCTTCCTTTTTGCAACCTGCTGACACCCTTCCCTGCACCACTCCGCCCAGCTCTGCCATGGCCTCTGATGTCAGGGACCTTCGCCGAAGCTGCCGTTCACTTCGGTTCTCCGCATCACCATTTTCCCATTAACTGAAAGCTAAGCCCGAAGGGTTTCCTCCCAGATGTACTTTTTGGCTATCTTTTTGTTTCTCTTCGCTGGCTTGAATACCGTGGATGTGTGTAAACAGTTCCCCGAAGTGCGATGGCTTCTCTGTCACCAGCCCATTGTGACTCTTCATGTCTTGGGCATGACGCATGGGAGGAGTCCCTGTCCAACCCGCCCGCCACTGTCCACCTGAACCGAGATGTGGGCAGTGTGTCAGCAGACGCTGTAAAAGCAGCCCGTGTGTGTGGTAAACTGAACCATGCCTCACTTCAAGGCAGCTACCCAAGGGGGCTTCACCAAGTTCCTCATTATCAAACTGAGGTTCAGACATCAATTCAATGAGCCTGGCACGCACCCAGGAGCGTGGGCCCCGCAGCCACGAGCATGCTCCATGACTGGTCTTCGACAGAGAGAAGAGGGGAGGGGAGGAGAGCACTCTACCTGCACCTGCTCCAGGCTAGGGACACCCCAGGGACCCACTCCTGGGAAGGGCGGCCGCAGCACCTGGACAAGGCTGTTGTGGGGACCCAGGGCTCACGCCTGGAGTCCCTGTGTGCTTGCAGAGTTGCTCCAGCCGGGAGGCACCGAGAGGAGAGGTCAGAGCATGGGACATCGATCAGCGTGCCCCATGATGACCAAAGACTCAAGTTCAAATGCATGTGCACATGAGGACCAGGAGAGGGAGGCTTGCTTTATGTGCGCCTGTGGTTCACCGCGGAAAGAGTCTATCCAAGTGCACAGGTCTTGGCGCCCCAGTAGAGTTATGGGAGAGAGACACTATCAGAGGGACTCTGGGAAGATCTAGAAATAAACTCCTACGATAAATGACAACAAAATATGCATGTATTTGAAACAGACCACATATATATATTACATATCACATGTATGTACACATCATCCTTCAGATTGTAAAGGGATCTTTGCACAGTATTCCCTAGACAAATATCTTCTAAAGTGCCTGTCTCTCACATTTACCACTGTGAGAGACCTGCAAAATATGATCTCATTTCAAATAGAACATGGAAAGTTTTGTTTGGCGAATAGCAACATGCGTGTCAGCAGCATTTAAAGGGATGGGGCTATCTACTGCCACCCACTGTCACTAGTGTCACCAGGGACAGGATGGCTCTGCTCCCCACTGGTGACACTCACTCCCAGCCCCACGTGAGGATGGCCTGCAGAGCGTCTAACTGCAGTTTAGTGGGAAACTCAGGGGGAGCTAGGGGCCCAGAATGCCAGGGGTAGCATCTTCCTCAACTTTCTGCAGAGCCCACCCCCCCCCCCACCCTGGAATGCCCCTGGAGCCCTCTCTCCAGTAGCCCAACACAGGGGCAGTCCCTCCTGCTCTGGTGGGCACACACCACAGGCTGTCATCTATAACTTGGGACATCAGGTTCCCAAGCTGTCACTTGGTAACTGGCTCACCCCAGGTGGTACCAGGTGCTGGTACCGAGATAGGCCCTGTCTAAAGTGCCTGACTCACAGCTCCCCTTGGCACACACATGTGGCATGCCCTTCTCACCCACCAGCCAACCGGCATCAGGCGGAAAGCCATGGGCCTCCCCACTGGGAAGTGCCCGCAGGACTCGGAAGCAGACCCACAGCGCCACATCGGGGTGGGGTGGGGGGCGTTTAAAGCCCTAAACCCTGATGTCTCTCGGGCCAGGAGTTTCACTCCAGTGACGTCAGTATACACCCCTTCACACTTGAGGAGAAGCCTCGCGGAGGGGCGACGTGCGCGGGTGGGCTGGACTGGTTTCTGGAAAGCCAGGGCAATAACCCCTCCTAGGACCCTGCCCTGCGGGGGAGAGCGCGTGAGACTGCTCGTGAGCAAGGCACCACGGGAGGGGCACCCCATTGCCTCTGGGCTGTGCACGCAGAGGCTCTGTGCCAGCCGGCTGACTCACCTGGAGAGCTGTCTGCGCCTTTAGGGGACGCCTACTGTGACGGCCTCGTCCCCAGAGAGCTCCTGGGCTTAGGACCCTGACTGCCCAGAAAGACTGACAGAAAAAGCGCTCTCAGAAAATTATCTTGCCTGGGACGGCAGTAGGGTTGGAAAACAGAACCCACCAATGACTTCAACCCAGGGCCCCTAATCTCTTACACACACACACCCCCCCCCACGCCACTACAGTGCTGTCCTGTGGGGAGAGCGCTGCTGTCCAGGGGCCCCCCGGCAGGCTTTGCAGCCCAGCGGGGCGCTATTTGAATCTCCGCTTCATGCCACTGGCTTTGAGCTTTTTCTCACCAGATACGCTGGAGTGGCTGCCGTGGCTTGCGTTCCCCTTTTTCTTGAGGGCCACGTGTGCTTGTGTTCGGGGGGCCTTACAGGGGCCCCCCGGGTCAATGATGGCAGCTGAGGCTCTGGGGGTCCGCAGATTCCCATTGGCGTGGAGCTTGGCACCACTGTCGCCACAGGCCAGGTCCAGGCACTGCAATTTGGAGCTTTTGACGGGCTTCTTCCTCCTCTCCTCTGGCCTCCCCTCCTGGGCCTGCTTCTTGGAAGCGAGCCTGCTGCCCGCAGGAAAGTCTGGGGCCCGGAGGCCCGTCTGGAAGGCCGTGCAGGATGCACGGGGGTCTTCCTGGTGCCAGTCTTTCTTTCGTGACAGCCAAGGCCTCAGAGGCCTGTCCTGGGGAGGTAATGGCTTGGGCAGGGCAGCAGCAACCAGTCTGCTTCTTCCAGGGCTTTTCGGAGGCCAGAAGGTCCCAGGGGCCGTGGGTGGCCTGCCTTTGCCCCCCACCCTTGCTCTCTCTGTCTGCACCGTCTGGGTCTGCAGCCACTCGAGCTGGACTAGCCGGTCGATGTACCGCCCCAGAAGGCCGGCTGCTCGTGGCACGGTGTCTGCCTTGCCCTCGGAGTTCAGCATCACGGCCATCTCCTGCAGGTCCCAGGAGTCAAAGGGAGGCGGGAGGAAGTCGGGGTAGAGGTAGTCAGGCTTGGCATGGCTGGGCTCGGGGTACGGGCGGAAGTAGGCTGGGTTGAATTCCTCAGCGCGGAGGCGAAGGTCAGGAGGGGTGAGCGGGGATGGGGGGATGGGAATCCGCTCTGAGTCCGAGAGGTCACTGGCACTGTCCTCATCGGTGTCCTCGCTGAGGAGCTTCATGGACTGGAAGGCCAGGAACAGGCTGGCCCCTGCGGTCCCTGGACGCCCGGGGTCTGGCGGGCTCCATTCGGGCCTTCTTCCCTCGTGAACGCTGGCTCTCCCTGTCGCGTCGGCCTGTGTGAGGGCACCTATGGGCCTGCTTTGCTGCTGGGAGGAAATTCGAGGGCTGCGGGATTTACTCGGCCTTTTTCCAGAAGGGTTCTTCCCAGGCTGCACTGTCGTCCACGCTGGCTCCGCAGTCAGACGGCTGTGGGAAACAACATGGAGTTAACGGGGACGGGGCCAGCCAAAGAGAAGCCCTCCGGCTGTGCTTGTCAAGGGGGAGGGGAGCCTTCGCTGGTGCCCAGTGGATTCCCACAAGCAGTCCCCGGTGGGGCAGAGGAAGGCAGCCTTGGGGGTGGCAGGGGGGGTGTGTCTGCTAGGCTGTATCTTTACGTGTCCCACCCACCCAGGGAGCGACTGGGTGGGGTGGAACCCTACCTGTCGTCCCTTCACAGCCCCATGCGTTAACAGCCACACCACCAGAAGGCCTGTGTCAGGCTCTCCTAAACCCACCACCACCGAGTCGATTCTGGCCTGGGCATTAGAAAACTGGAGGCCTCCCGACTCCTCCGCAGAACGGATCACTGGACGGGGCCATCCAGACGTGTAATCCTATTCAATAACTCACTCACGCACTGCCATCGACTCAGTCCAGACTCACAGTGGAGCAGTGCTTGCGCACTGGGCTGCTAACCGCAAGGTCAGCTGTTTGAAAGCACCGGCCTCTCTGTGGGAGAAAGATGAGGCTTTCTACTCCTGGAAAGGGTTAGGCTCAGAAGCTCACAGAGGCAGTTCACGCCGTCCTATAGAATTCTGTTTAATGAGTGTCCTATAGTAACGTGTGCCTCAGGAAAACTACAGCAGATAGGAGCACTCGAGAAAAGCATAAACCTTTCTCAACGTGCTGATGTTATCCTTCTAGGGCAACTGTGTGCACTTGCAAGAAACACACGTCTGTGGGGGAAAGTCGCAGAACTCTCAGTCTGCCCTGCTCATGAGCATGTGTGCTGCCAAGCCCCTCCCCGCGCCGGGCTCC